TTCTTCGGATTCCACGGCTTTCCGTTTTTCTTGGAGGGCGCCTGCTGCATTTGTAGTACACCCATTCGTAACGCAAAATAGTGTTGGTGCTTCGATTACTGGATGAACGCACAAATATCACAAAGTTATCCTTCATGTATTGATTTAAGGTCTTCTCAAATGCCGTGAAGGATGAAAACGATACACCCACAAATTTCTCAACGAAAGCCACTTCCGAAGCCATAGCAGACGAAGTTCAAAGCCGAATGTGCGCCAATACCGAATGTGCGCCAATACCGAAGTGCGCCAATAATTTTCAAATGTCATCGATTAAAACAAATCGCAAAAAAATAACGGCAGATGAGGGGGGTTTTCAGTCTACGCATATATGCAGTGCAGTGCAACATTTTGACGTTAAAGTTTTTATTTCGTCCGCAGGCGTTTTGCAGAAAAATACATTGTGTGTCTAGCAGCTGGCGAACTGTGAGTAGACTCCATAGGGCCGTTAACCACTGCATACTTCGCTGAGGCGGCATCCATGGGTGGATGCGTGTGGCCCTGGGATCGCATGGCTCAAGTCTACACCGCTTGGGCTGAGCACTGACAAGTAAACACCCCTCTTTAGCTTTAACTTCAGCGCGTCCAATAATGCATATTATTGCCGAATCCCGCCATCGAATCATCGATGTACACTAGGCTATTTCGCTATCGCTAATTGAACTAACTGTGCGAGTAGTGAGCTAACCCTTATAACACTAAGTCTCCAGGTTTAGCGCGGACACCGACCAGTAATTTTGGACAAAGTGCTTTATTAAGCACTTGGTGAGCTAGCCACTACAACATTGTTTAATTGTGTGTTTTAACTGACATCGCGGAAGATGTGTACGAGTCCTGATTGTTTATACAGTTATTTCAGAATACCTGTCGAGTAAAAACTGAGAAGTGGATTGACCACACATTATGTTTGTGCTGCTGCGACCAGTAAAGAGAAACATGGTTTGTCAAAAATGGTTGTGTAATTCTCAGGCACGGGGTGTTTGCAGTTGGACGACGTATTTATATGAAGGCTTTGTTTTGGAGCCACTTCTGATTCTGGTATACGTCAACGACCTTCCAGATGTTCTTTCAAATCCGTGCCTACCTTTTGCGAACGACTTTGTATCCTGTAGTCCCAAAGCCAGCGCCCCTCAAATAGATGTCGACGCCTCAAAGAAGTGGCCGCTGGACCGGCACCTCCCTCTGAACGACGAGAAGCGCGCGCACATGTCATTCGGAGGAGACGCGGCGAACGCCTCTGCTGTGCATGGTGAGAACGGACCAGAAGACATTACGGGCACAGTTGCCGAGAAGGATTTAGGTGTCTGACTCTCTTTAACTATGTACTCCTTAGACATTAGACATTTACTTATGCTAATCCTCGCGCTGGCAAGCATACTGCCCCGCGCTGAGAACATAAAAGAGCAGTCCTACACCCTTTTTTTTACTTGTGCCTTTCAGGTGAACGACAGCCACTGACCAACAAGGAGAAAACTGGCCCGGGAAACTTGGGCAAATGCCTCGATCTGGTGTACCAATCCGCGAATCCGTGAAGGCGATACCCTATTGACCAGAAGTCCGGACCCAACAACCAATCATGATCCAGTATTCGAAGGAGGAGTGTTGCCAATTCCGCATATGAAGGGCGTCGGGATTTCTTGAATGTTGTTGCCGAGTAGACGCGATGTACAAGTGTTTTTGACCTGGTCTTTGTCGATCATACACCTTTGTTAATTTTTTTGACGGGAACGCTGGCTGGGAAAATTTAGACCGAAAACTCAGCTGAGAAAATACCGTTATCACACCGTCCTACACCTATTAAATCTGGAAAGAAACCAACAGCAAGAGTGCTACTCAAAAAGCCACTTAGATAACCTCCTATTCCTGCACTCGAGCAGGGCCATGGGACCTTTATCTTGTAAATTGATCCACACGACCGGCATCCGATGTCCGAACTAATAGAGATATCTCTCGAGGGTCTTCCAGTTGAAAAGTACACCTTCCTATCAATCAAACTTCTCTCGTATATACTTCACGGACTAAATAAGCTGGTTGCGAAATACCAATGGCATCACGATGAAACAATCATGAGTTACGAGTGAATCTTCACAAGTACAGATGAAGATGTGAATAGTGAACGGTTGGAAAAAAGTACAAAAAAGATATTCACGGAAAAGCGGTTCTAACAGAACAATAGTCGGAAATTCCATGGAATTTTTTTCCCAACCGTTCACTATTCACGTCTTCATCTGTACTTGTGAAGATCCACTCGTAACTCATGATTGTTTCATCGTGAGTCATTGGTAATTTCGCAACCAGCTTATTTAGTCCGTGAAGTATATACGAGAGAAGTTTGATTGATAGGAAGGTGTACTTTTCAACTGGAAGACCCTCGATGGATGTATTGCCTGAGGATCCAGCGTTTGCAGGGCCGAAACTCCATATGGGCGAGCCCCACCTTCTATATACTAGTTTCCACATATAAAGGATGTTCAGCGCCTTCAAATTTTGAATAGACAATTGTTGCCTGCTTTATACCAGAACTTGTATCTGTTATTTGTAGCGTTCGGTTATTCGTTGCGTGAAGTGTATAAAGCCCTATTGACCAAACTCTGGCTGGTCGCATGGTCCTGTTTCCTCCAGAATGTCAAGCTCCATGACGGTGCCTGTCACTCTGGCTATCAGCGACACCGTGCCTTTTTCAAGTATGTGTTCTTCGTTTCCTTCATTTCCTTTGCAGGCATAGCGTTCAGGATATTCCTATGGGCGGCTGTGTCCAATATTTCAGTGCACGTGATAGCACTTTTGGTCGCTTTCCATAATTTGAAGTTACACAAAACCTTTCGGATATGCGTACCACTGCTTATCCTTGGCATGGGCGTACTGAACACAGTAACAGTAATGCTGGTATCAAGTAACTGCATAGACTTTATGTATGATTTACATTCACTTCTTAAGGTTTGGTCATAGCAGGCGTGTACAAAGCAACAGGTATATCCTTCAACGACGTTCACGCCATCGTCATGGGACTTCTCCAAACCAGTTTGGCCTTCATATTTTCCGTCAGCCGAGTTCTTGCCATGCTGTGATTGATCATCCACTATCCAACGATTTCCGGTGCCCAGCGTGCTTGCCTCAGGAATATCCTTTAGGTACTGACAAGCGTTTGTTTTTTACCATTCTGTTGTACACAGCGTCCAGTGTGCAGAACTTTGTGGTACCCTGTTTCCTTAGACCGGCTACATTTCGTTAATCACGATTGCTTCTGACTTCAGTTGGAGCTGTTTAGGAAGCCAATTTTTGGTAGCTCTAACGCTCTTTGCTCCTGGTTTCGGCTACGATCACAGTACGAGGCATCGGGCAGGTTTCTCTTCCTGTTTGCGATCTAGTCAAATACTCTGTAATTTTAGTCCCCAATCCAGTGTGCACCACACACCCATTTCAGTATCCTGCAAATGAACGTCCCTTCGTTTAATTTTTGGTTGACCAGTTCTACGTTGTTCACGAGAACTACTCATAAGTGGCCAAGTAAAACATTCTGACTGTGTGTTTATTTTACAAGTGTAATTCAGAGAAGGTAAATCTTAATGAGAACGATAATCCCACTCACTTTATAGTGGAAGTTATGCAATTGGAACCCTCAGGTCTGTGTACTTGTTTATAACGTACGTCAGTTTTAGGCTTTTTTCAATGTGGGCATAAAGAGAAATAATGAAGGAATAAAATGTCCCAGATGAGTGAAGGTAAGAAGTGCGCGTGAAGGGCTGAAATTCACCAGTTTATACATTACCATCATCAGAGACAATGACATCAGTGTTGACACTGATGCACCACTGTGTACAACCACAGCGTGTCTAATTATGTTTCAAGCTTTAGAATAAAAGACGAGGGAAGAGTGGGTGGGGAAGGGGACCTGCTGATCGCCTATTGCAAGCCTTCTGAGGTACCTACACCTCCAGTCAGACAACTTGGAAAGGAGCTGACAGCACGGACGCTACTGACACCCATCAGCCGTCATTTCTTTCGATGTCTCTAGCCAAGTGCAGGAGGGGTCACGGGGACCCCACCCTATAGCACACACTGCACCAGCAATACTCAGACTCTTCGTAACCTCTTTCACACCGTTCCGTCGAGTTATACTTTGTCCTTTACGTGGGTTCCGCCATTCTGAAGGAAGCACAGACGACAACACTCGTCTCGGTAGACAGTGTTCCGGCACGCGTAGTACATGACCGAGCCACTGTAGTTGCTACTGCTGCGCAACAACTATCCGTTTTCTAATCCCCTTATCACCAATCTGTTAAAGGTATCAGAAATCAGTAACACTTCTGGGGCGTCGGTGGTCAGGAGCCTGAAGATGCCATATCACCTGTTCTCCGAGGCCGTGCTTCGCAAATGCACAACAATACAGCCCTTACTGTTGTCTGGTAAACGCGATTCTTGAGACCCAGTGATATGCCCTTTTGACACAACAAGTGACGCAAATTAGCAAACGTGATTCATGCCTTTGAGATCCGTGCACTGACTTCATCACACACACTTCTGTCGGAGCTAATGCAACTATGGAGGTGTGTTAGATTCTACATAACCTCCAGTGATTCTCCTTGAATTGTAAGATGTTCAGAGTAGTTGCTACTGCTGCGCAACAACTATCCGTTTTCTAATCCCCTTATCACCAATCTGTTAAAGGTATCAGAAATCAGTAACACTTCTGGGGCGTCGGTGGTCAGGAGCCTGAAGATGCCATATCACCTGTTCTCCGAGGCCGTGCTTCGCAAATGCACAACAATACAGCCCTTACTGTTGTCTGGTAAACGCGATTCTTGAGACCCAGTGATATGCCCTTTTGACACAACAAGTGACGCAAATTAGCAAACGTGATTCATGCCTTTGAGATCCGTGCACTGACTTCATCACACACACTTCTGTCGGAGCTAATGCAACTATGGAGGTGTGTTAGATTCTACATAACCTCCAGTGATTCTCCTTGAATTGTAAGGGGTATGTTCAGAGATTGTTCACTCTCAAGCATGATTTTGCACTTGAAGATGTCAGACGCATACCGAAAATGGTATGACAGTGATAAGTCTATTCGGCCTTGGTCTTAGAAGATGAGGGCAACATGGTCTGCGTCCTCCAGATCGACCGGGTCCTCATCAGCACCAGTTTCAACCTTGAGGTTTCGAAGACCTTCCAGCTTTCGCCCCA